TGGTCCCCAGGCTGGGGGTGGGGTCCCCCGGGCTGGGCGATGGTAGATGCGCCGGGGGCCAGCGCTGTCCAGCTGGTTTTTGGAGGCCCGGCCGTCGATGGGAGGCATAGTTAGTGGTGGGAGTCGTCGGCCTCGTGTTGCGAGACACAGTGAAGTGTAACGGCCACGGGCTGTCCCGTGGCCTGGGGATCGGAGGCCCAGCGGGCGACACAGCGATGGGTGAGCGCCTCCCGCTGGCGCTGGCGGGCTACGGCAGGGCCGCCGACTGGGCATGGCTAACACAGCCTTGAGTAGGCCGTAGGAGCCCAGGACAGTTCTGGAAATTATGGCGTTAGTCTTTGGTGTGTGCCGGAGTAACGCTACCATGGCAGTGGTGATTTACTATTTTAATGCTAAACCTGGGACGTCACCATTTTCCCCACTTCGGTTGTACATGAGCCCGTCCTCAGATCAGTTAAACAGATGATATAATGCATCGTTTTATGATGAAGCGGAGCATCGGAGCTTTGCGCACGCTGCTTTCGTTTGCGGACCTGGATGTGTTGTGTGTGGAGAAAGGGAGAGTATGCAAAAGGCGCCTGAAACACGAGCTCAAATAGCTTGCACATGATGTAAGCCAATTGGTAGCTTAATAAATGTGCATGACGTAAGATAAATGACGACTGCAATTATAAAACCCCATCCACTTTACTTATTGGCCAGAGCTCAACGCTGAGGGCGAACTTTGAAGGTCATCACAATAGTATCTTTTTAATGTGACTCGCACAGGCGTGTGCTTGACGTAGTCAAATTCACGGCTGGTGGGTAAAGGGGGCTGTGTTAGCCTTTTCACATCTGCACGAACGTCGTCTGTTGGATGGGAGCTTAGAAAATTTGTATGTTTGAACAATTGATGTCGCGTTGCGTTGCGTTTTTCTAAGTGATACCAAAGCACGACGAAGTAATTCGTTCCCATTCGCTCCATTCAGTCATACATATATGAATATCATGCTTTTCATATGCTGCTTGCAGATGGGTGTTGCAAGATATAAGGTAAAAGTCGGTCGTTGAGTCATGTGCCATATCTTTGCGTAACCAGTATCAATCTGCGAACATTTTCTGGAAGAGAGGAACGGAATTATGATTGGGATCAATAGTCGCCATTTCAAAATCAGTGGAGAGGAGAAAGGCGCAATCATGATGGGGGCCAGCAGTTGCTGACCCTTAGTATGACGTCACCAAAAGCCCTTCGTTGCTCTCGGCGTTAGACATGACCCCTATAGGAATGACTTATATGCATTGTAATATGAATTAAGCAGTGAAACAAACCGAGTGATCCCGACTGAAAACACAATGGAGGAGAGCATGTCCAGATGCGTGATCGTCCGAGCATTCCCATTTGCCCCGTTTGTTTCGTTCCCAGAGACTGGATCATTGAGCTCATCCGATCGATCACATTTTGGGGCCACTGAATCCATCATGATCTTTGATGTTAGCTGGGCTAGCTATACGGTTTAAAGGGATCGGGCTGCCGGGAAAGGTTTTCAATTCATTTTTTCGGAATAATGTAAAAAGTTGCGTCTTCAGTGCATAGCTCCTCAGTCCCAGCAGGCGCAGAATAGCGGAAGCGTGACCAGTTTCAATTTTATTGTGCAGCTGACGGCGCCGAAGTCCTGCTCCCTGAAGCGTCATCACGCTGATGATGATACTGAGTAGTAGTGGCTACAATTGGACCCACGTAAAGCCTACGTGTTTGCAGATGACTGCCAAAAGAACCCGCATAAATTGAGGTGGGATTTGACACAACCTTCCCAGGAATAAAGTAGAGCAACACTTCCAGCGAGCTCAGACCGTTATGTGATACCGAACATGATGGCGACCGTGGTGTGATGGGATTCCACCGGATCCTGCGCGACCGTTCATACCCTTGCACAGGGAACGGAATAAAAAGGGCTGTGATCGATCTGATTTTTGTTTGCCGTTCGTGTAAAGATGCCTTCCTTTAAAGAAAAAAAAGATTGCACAAGTGAACGCTTGTGCTCCACTTGAGTGTCCCGTGGGAGCCGCAACACCACTGCCCAGTGCAGGGCAATTACCTTTGTGAGAAGAGAACGATGGCTTTGCTGTGTAATGGAATAAGTCGAATAGTATGCGCATTTCTGCAGATATTTGCGGGCACCGAACGTTGGCAAAAAGGCCCCACACATACGTAGATTACTTGCGGTCTACCTCCCGATCTCAGATGGGGCTGCACGCCGTTTTATGATATACGTTTGCATGCTCGCGCGCGCGCGGAGCGAAGACGAGCCGAGCGCCCACTCTGGGATCGACTTTCGCCGTCGGTCGCTTTCCGACCGATTACGGTGTGTGGCCGCCGGCGCGTGGCGGCCGGCCGGTGACACGCGCCTCGGACAGTGCGCCGCTCCGGTGACGCTGCCCACGGCCGCACCGGGCGGAGCCGGCCAGCGGGAGCGGTCGGCGGAGGAGCAGGGACGGACCAGCCGGAGCGGCCAGCCTGCCCCTGCTTCCCCGGCCGGCCGAGGAGCAGGGACAGAGACCGCACCCGGCGGAGCCGGCCAGCGGGAGCGGTGGGCCGAGGAGCAAGGACGGGCCAGCCGGAGCGGTCGGCCTGCCCCTGCTTCCCCGGCCGGCCGAGGAGCAGGGACAGACCGCTCCGGGCGGAGCCGGTCAGCCGGGGCGGCCGGCCTGCCCCTGCTTCCCCGGCCGGCCGAGGAGCAGGGGCAGCAGGCACCGTCCGGCCGTCGATGTGCCAGCGGCGGGAGTGGGCAGATGTGACCGGTGGCTCCGAGGACGGGCCTGGCGACCCCGCCCCCGGCCGGCCTGCTGCTCGGGCCGGCTGACCCCGGGCGATCGCCGGCTGGCTGGGGTCCTGCTCAGCCGCCGTCCCGCCGGGACAATGCCCAATTTCTTCCGGATCACGTCCGGCTTCGGAACACGGAGCAGGCAGGCGGTCGAACACGGACATTGGGGCTGGTTTCACTTGGGGCCCGCCGGTCGTCAGCTCTTACCGATTAAACGGACACGTGTCATGCTCACAAACAGTGCCTCCGCGGCGGCATGCCAGTGCTTATTGGTTCTTAGTAAAGGAAAAATAGAAATTTCACCTTTCAGCTTCCACCTTCGCTCGCATGCATTCAAGTTCCATTGTTAGACACCGGTGATTGCTCTTGAGTGATACTCTCTCTTTCTCTGAGTCAGACTTCTTTGGTGTATGCAGTGGTATTGGGAACGTGTCTAGGTCTCCTTGGGCTTAAGTGATTATATCAGTTTAGTTTTGGGCGCAATTATGTGTGGGTGAAAATATCGGACAATCATTTATGCGTCTAGGCTAAAATTGGAACGAGCGGACTTAATCCTGCGCACCATGAAAATATGATCATATGCATAATTGACTCGGAACATGCATTCTGCTACTTTTTTGCCAGGATATGCTAAGCCCCCATGACCATGATGACATGACGAATGACCCCCATGCATGATTGTAAAGCGCAAAATATTTAACACCTCCAAATTTCCAGCGATTTCGTTGAAACTTTCCGATGAGTTTGTAGCGCTGAGCGCAGTGAGCGTGGTGCTCCTTCAACAAAACCGAGCTGGCACTCGTCGGTAATCAGTGCAATGCAAACCGGTTTACGATGCGTTATGACGATTTCATGATAGTAATAGTTAATAGTTACGAGGGTTTCGTAGTAACGTTCGACACTTTATGAAACGATATCCGATGAAATCGAGGGGTTTTGTAGGGACGATCTGTACGTTGTGTGGCTGTTTTGTGGGATGAAATCCTAAAAAGTGCGCTGATATGGGTTTTGTGGCCTATAGATTCTTCTGCGGTCAGTTGGCGACTGTCCAAGGGAGACAGGTCGGAGCGAGAGCGGTCTCATTACTGCTTGGCACGTAAATCGTTTAGGCGGAAATTTTAACACGGCCTATGGTTCCAGAGCCGCCCCAGAAACTATTCAGCGAAATCAGTCATTGAAAAGTAGACACTTCCGGGCTAGGCGCTCAAAAATATGTTGTGTAGCATGAATGGCGGTTAAAATTTCGGGCTTTTCTTATACATTGCGTATCTTGCTGTTGCCACAAGTTCACTTTTGAATGAAGTCATCTAGTGTTATCAAGGGGGCTGGACGAGGTGTAAACGTTATGCGACCATGACAAGGGGCTCTGTGCCGCTTGAGGGGACGAAGGCCATGCCGTGAGTGTAGTCTACGCGTTTTATCGAAGACCGGGCTATTGCTACTCAGAAACTCAATGAAAATAACAAATTAGCAATACAAAAATAGCTGTGATAGTAAGAAGCTGTCTCTAAAGAGAAACATGGACTCACCATCCCCGCCCCACGGAGCCAGTTATGGTGAGGTTTTGCTACTGTTCCTTTTTTGGCCTACCACGTCAGCTTTGGATATGGGACCCGCGGGAGCGCAACGCCAACGGCATGATATGCTATTTGCGGCGTATTTTTCAGTCCTCGACATGTGACAAAAAGGATTCCCGATTTTCCAAAAACGTAAGCCGTCACTTAAAAAGAAATAGAGGGGTGCAGTGGCAAAGATCGTGATAATCAAGATTGCTTGGTTGGCGTGTGCATTTTGTGTTATTTATCAAACATTCCCGCCAAGTTGAACGAGCTCATTGTAGCGTTTTAAACACCTGCCTTATTTCCGGATCTTGTTCAGTCGTCGTGAAATGTTTCCACATTTTTCGGTTCCCAACGTCCTCCATTACTACCCCTTGGTATGGTGTCCTTTATGGCGTTCGTATAATGTAAGCGCTCAGTCAATTTACCCAATGTGGAAACGGGTCAGGAAAAGCGGCATGGTTTGTGGAAGCAGATGTACAACAATCAAACATCTCTCCGAAATTCGCGGCGCCGTAATCTGACAATTAAAGCTCATGGCAGTAGCCTGGGCGCGTGGCTGCGTCCTGCGCGAGCGTTCAGCGAGCATGTGCAGCAAGGGAAAAACTAACGCATGACTAATACCTCCGCTTGTCAACAGGTGTCGCACCATCCTCCGATGGTGGCCCAGCACTGCGACGGCCCCGGCTGGGAGTGCTACCAGGAGTTCACCATGTCGTCCAAGTTCCGCGGCAAATACCTGCAGGTCATCCCGCTGGGCATTTCACACCTGCACTTCCCGAAGACAGGTGGGGGCGCTGCAGGCTTCGGCCGAGAGATGGCGCCGCGGTAGCCGGCCTGGCGGCAGCTGCCGGCTGGTCACGGACGCGCCGACTGGAGGCGGGTCTGGGACCGGAGCCTCGATGTCGTCAGCATATGTTGAACCTCGCGTCATCACCGCCCACCAGGTCCGCGGGGTACCGCTGATTGATCCGCGCGGCTGTTTATCGCTCCCCGTCTGTTTTTTTTTCTGGCCGTGGGTGGCGGGTCTGCGCAGCGGAAAGTTTTCCGAGAGTCGGAGCGACCGCACGTCGTCCGGCACTGTGCGGCCAACGAGTCGGTCCGCGGGCGGCCGCAGTCCCTGGCTGGACCGGCGCACCAGACAGGCCTTACCTCGCGTGCGACGTCACACCGTGTCATGGCCTGCTCTGTTATCCCACTCGACCCGCTGCGGTTATTCGCACGCTCGCGGTTTTCGACCGAGGGTCAGAATTCTGTCGAGTGCCGTTCGCGTGCGTACCTCCGCCTGATGGGCCCCCTCTCACAACTCGGCTATTGATACGCGGGACACGTCTGTAGCCCCCTCTCACCGCGCGGGCCGCGCGTTGTGCGTCGGCAGGCAACCACTTCACGTGGCGCAAGGTGACCACGACCGTGCACAACATCATCGTTGGCCGACTGTGGGTGGACCAGCACGGCGACATGGAGATCGTCAACCACAAGACGGGCGACAAGTGCAACCTCAAGTACGTCCCGTACAGCTACTTCTCGCGGGACGTGCTGAGGAAGGTGAGTCGTGGCGCCGCCGGGGCGCGAGCACGACGACGCTCGGCGTGACGGGGACAGTGCGGTGTGCTGTGGTCTTGGGATCGGTGTTATGCGGTGTCGGTCAGTTGTAAGGCGGTGGTGAACTCGTGGTGCGCTGTTTGGTGATGTTTGACCCGACATCAGTTGTGTGACGTTTCGCTTGTTGTTTACCCGTGTGAAAGTGGTCTTCGTCGAGTGGTTTGCCGGCGGCGTTGTTGTGAATCAGAAGTGTTTGACTGCCGCGACACCCTGCGATTGATTTCAGTAGTGAGCATTATGTTTCATTTCCTATGGATATGTATCAATGAATATGTGGCTTACAGACCATCAGGAAGTCACTCAATGTCACCCCTTCATTTCCCTTGGGCGGAATCGTGTGACTATGTCTGCGTGGAGACACGCGTGATGTGCGCAGCGGCTCACTGCCGCCGCTACGGTTACTGACGCCTCTCCGGCCGGGCGGTGGCGCCCTCTCCAGGTGACGGGCTGCGTGTCGGACGCCAACGGCCAGGTCCGGTGGGTGCTGATGGGCACTTGGGACCAGAAGATGGAGTGCTGCAAGGTGCTCAACTCCAACACGTCCGTCAAGGGCAAGCCGGTCATCGAGACCGGGCCGCCGCGCATGCTCTGGAAGGCCAACACCTTGCCGTGAGTGCCGCCTCTGGAGCCGGCTGCCGCCACCTGTTCCGTCCGACGGGTGCCATCTGGCGGCCAGGGCTGAAGCTGTCGCGTGCGGGCAGCATCGCTCAGGGATAGGCTGTCCCGGTGGGCGTGGTGTCGTCTCCCGGGCCGCCTGCCGCGCACCTCACTCTGAATACAGGCGGGTGGGATAGCCATGTGGCAGTAGGTTTAGTGGGTATTGTCGCCATGTCCACAGCTCGTATCTGGCAAATGCCCTTGTTTGATGTGGTGTGAAGAATACATGGTACGTCGTTTCTTAATCCGACTGAGTCTACCGAACATAACTATTTTTTGATAAATTATGTGAGATTTGCGCCACTTTATCCTAGCCATGACATTTTTCTTTATGTCTGGCGTTAATGGTAGGACCAGGCCAGGCGAACATGATATTACAAAATCGGAATCATGTCTGCCATTCTGCATACGATGGGGCCATGAAGATGCATTTCAGAAGCAGAATTTTCGGCTCGGGCAGAAGTTATTTTGGGAGCTTCTTTTGATGGGCTCTATAAATCGTCCTTTCAATTTGATGACCGTCGGTCGTGGCTGCACGTTCTGCTCGCCAATAGCGCGTCTCACGGGTACGGCGGGCGGGTGGCGCACCGCGCCGCGCTCGCCACATGACGGGCGCTCGGTTGCAGGTCGGATGCAGAGAAGTACTACAACTTCAGCCAGCTGGCGATGGAGCTGAACGAGCCGGAGGAGAACGTGTCTCCGACGGACTGCCGGCTGCGGCCCGACCAGCGGCTCATGGAGCAGGCGCTCTGGGACGAGGCCAACGAAGAGAAAGTCAGGTGCGCTGACCGGCAGCGGCCGGCTCGGGGCAGCCGGGGACGCGCCGCGCCCGCCGGCTGACGGGCCGGGCCGGTGGCAGACGGCGTCCCTGCCGTCACCGTGGCGGCGCGGCTCCTGCCGGTGGACGAGATGGAAGAGGGCCACGGGGGTGCTGCGCTCACAGCTTCAGACTCATCTCTGCGAGGGCTGCATAGAGCTCCGAACAGCGGCTCAACAGGACTAGTGGCCTCTGCCAGGAAGGCTCCGGCCAGTAGCGCTGCTTCAGTTGCTGAGAGCGTTTTCCTCAGACTTTCTAGACAGATTCAGAGATGGCTATGTCTATGTCACACACGACCACTTGACTCCTGCTGAACACGGACCAGTAACCAGTTGGCCTTTCTGATTGGTAACCGCCATGCCACTCGGGCTCGTCGTGGTGTGCCACCGTCGTTTTCATGTTTCCATTTCCAACTGGTTTCTGTCTTAGCCGTGTTGCTCTGTTTTTCTGACGTGATCAGGGTATGGGGCACACATATGTGTAGTGCCACCGTGACCGGTCTGGGCTGTTTGGCTTGCCGCAGAGCTAATTCACCTACTGCAGGACAAACGAAGGTCGCACCGGGTGCCCGAGCTTGTCTGTCGATGTCCGGAGCGGTGCGTGGCTCGCAGTGCCCGGTGACGTTTGCAGCGGTGTGTGACGTCACCGGTGGTATCTGTAGCGGTGCGTGGCTCGCGATGCCCGGTGACGTTTGCAGCGGCGTGTGACGTCACTGATGATGTCTGCAGCGGTGTATGGCTCACGGTGCCCTGTGACGTTTGCAGCGGTGCGTGACGTCACCAGTGGTATCTGTAGCGGTGCGTGGCTCACGGTGCCCGGTGATGTTTGCAGCGGCGTGTGACGTCACTGGTGATGTCTGCAGCGGTGTATGGCTCACGGTGCCCTGTGACGTTTGCAGCGGTGTGTGACGTCACTGGTGCCCGGTGGTGTTCCGTGCGATTCGTTAAGTCCGTGCCTGTCGGCGTGAGGAGCGTTGTGTGACGTCACTGGTGCCGTTCGGCGTCGGGAGCGCCGCGTGGCATCAGTGGTGTGCGGTCTGTTGCCAGGCTGGAGGAGAAGCAGCGGGCGGCGCGGCGGCGGAGAGAGGCGGAGGCGGAGGCGGCAGCTGCCGAGGGTACGTCATCAGCCGATGGTAATATCTCGACCCACGCGGCCACAGGGAGAACCACTCTGGCTGGCGTGCGCTACTAACTAGCTTAGACAGAGGAGCTTATTTTGTCGGGCAATGTGTTGACGTTTGAGAAAGCGGCTTGGCACGCATGCTGAAGTAGGGAGGTGCATAGTGTGGGGGAAGCAGTCGAAAGGTTAGGTGTGCGATGCTGGCATGCATACAGGGACAATGCAATATGTTCACATCGTGTTCCCCATTTAACGTGTTTGCTTCAGTCTGGAATGACCTGTGACCTTTTGCTACCTGGTCTTTTGTTGGTGGCGTCCACCATGTTGGTTATATGGTACGCTCCATCTGGTCTTTTGTTGGCGGCGTCCATCATGTTGGTGACATGGTACGCATTATGTGGTCTTTTGTTGGTGGCGTCCACCATGTTGGTTATATGGTACGCACTATCTGGCCTTTTGTTGGTGGCGTCCACCATGTTGGTGATATGGTACGCACTATCTGGTCTTTTGTTGGTGACGTCCACCGTGGGGGTGCGATGGCCGAGTGGATAGTGCCTTGGGCTTCCATTGGGGACCCAGGCTCGAATTCCAGTCGCGCCATGGCCCCTGAGCGCTGGTATGGATGTCACGGGCGCTCCATAAAAGGAACGTGACGGCGTGCGTTGCGTTCCTTTAACATAAAACTTGGCTAGCTTGCATGTTCGTGCTAATCGAAATGTGTCGGAATGAAATAACTTCCAATATTATTATTGCTGCCAACGCTGATGTAAATCGGTGCTAATGAACGTATTATGCGGAGGGAAAGAACCAAAATTATTCGCTCGACATTCCAACAAGTTAAGCAATTTGGATTGGGTCTGTTCAGGTAGAAATATCGATTGAATGACGATATTGATTGCCTACGATCTGCTGGAAGGACGTGTGAGCGCTGCGCCCTGACGTTACTGCCCAGCGGCGATGGTGCCCGTTTGTAGCTGCGTGCTAACAGCGTCATGCCCGTTTGTGGCTGCGTGCTAACAGCGTCATGCCGCCGCCAGGCGTCGAGTACAAGGGGTACACACCATCGTGGTTCCGCAAGGAGCTGGACCCGTACACCAATCAGTACACGCACATGTACACGCGTGACTACTGGGACTGCAAGGAGAAGCAGGACTGGTCGCGCTGCCCGGACATCTTCTAAGCGGCGGTGCCCGCCCGATTCCCCGGCTGGCGCGCGCGGCCGCCGCCGCCCTGTGATCTGCGGGGCGCGAGCCCGCTCGTGCGCGCCCGAGGGACGCCTGGTCTTCCGGCGTGGCGGCGGCGCAGCGCCTGTGCCGCGGCGCCGGCCACGCCCTGGCACGAGACCAGGCGCCGGCCGATCATGTCCGCAGCCGAACGGCCGGGCCGTGCACGAGTGTGATTGCTAGCACGACGTGTCCCGGCCTCTGTGCGTGCGGCGTGTCTTTCTGGGTGTGTTTTGTCGCGAGACGCTGGCTGCGCGCCACCGTCCAGTCGAGCATTCCCCTGTCCCTTCCGCGGCGATGTGGCGTGGTCCGCGGCGGACGCGCCGGCCGGCACCGAGCCGGCCGGCCGACCCAGCCAGGCTGGGCCGGCGGAGCACCGCGGCCGGTGAGAGGTCGTCGCGTGTGCTGCCCGTGGCGCGGGCCGGTCTTCCGCCGACCGGCGCCGCTGGCACGGCCTGGGCCTGAGGGGTGTCGCGGTCGGGTCGGCGGCCGGAGGTGGGCCGCGTGCGGAGCAGGCCGCAGCCGCGCGACGTTTTATCAGAAGGGACGCAGTCCCACCCCGCCCGTAGGCATAGTGCCCCCGGCTGGTGCTGGCCGAGGTAGCCACGCGCCTTGTGTGTGTTGGGCGACGGTGTGTGCATTGCCTTGGCGCGCGGGCGGCTGCCGGGCCAGGCCGATCAGTGGCTGCGGGGGCCCGGCGACGCTGCGGAGCGCGCAATATTAACGCTTGGTGATTGTGATGGGCGTGGGGAGGCCGGACAGGCCGGACGGGCCGGACAGGCCGGTCAGGCCGGGCCGGGCCAGGCCGGGCTGGGCCAGGCTGAGTGCAGCGCTGTAGGCTGCTGGGGTTTACAATATAATCTTGTATTTATGTGTGCTGCGGTGGCCGCCGAGCCGGCGGGGCCGCCGGCCGCCGGCCGCCAGCCGCCAGCTCGGTGCTGTCGCCGATCATCGCTGTGTCGTGCTGCCGTAGACTGTAGGGCGCTGCTGGGGAGCCGGCGCGCACCCTGTCTGGGAGCGGCTGCTGGCGGCGTGGACGGCCGGGCCGACGGCGGCCGCCATAGAACGCGCGGTGCGGTGTATCGGTCGGCCCCTCACGCGTGCTCGACTCCAAATATATCCACCCAGGTGAAGACCCGCGTCGTTTGTCGTGATGGGTGCCGAGCCCTGCTCAGCAACACACGGCTGGGTTGTGGGGCCGCTATGAGGACGGAAGAGACTGCGCTGCGGGTCAGTTTTTGTTTCTTCCTGTGGTTGATGGTACGTCACACTTACGACGCCGTAATGAGTGCAAGGACCAGGAAATGACCACCCAGGGCAACACCGATTATTCCACGCTTTCAAAAGCGATCTGAATGAGGTGTGGTTTTCACCTTAATGACATACATTGCGTAAGGGCCAGAGGAAAGAGGCCAAGAGTGGCACATCTCCTATGCTGATATTTCCGATACGAATATCTGGGTCCCGTGTATTCAAGCACAAACGAAGTTCCAGGTATGGACGCCAGCCCATAGGACGCTCCAGCGTCGGGGGTGCTGGGAAATTAATCCGAGCGCTGTCCAAACCCGAACCTGCGATGACAGTGCATGTGCAGGTAGACGCCGCATTCAATATCAGCGTTGAAATCCCGGCGCAGTCAGCCCGTCGCTCTTCTGACGTCACAGCTCGGTGGAAGCGTGGCTGTGGCGGCTGCAGTGAGGACGGACCCCCTGGTGGACCGGTGTAAGGTTGCATGTACTCGGCGTCGATTGCGAGCACCATTCTCGTGCAATTATTTTTGAATATCGTTGAGATAACACCGTAGCGTTACTCCATAAACCGCATTCGCGGTCATACGAGCGCCCAGCTGTCCCCCAGAAGAGGGACTGGCACCTGCCGCCGCCCAGTGACAGGTTCCGCGATGCCAGGTTGGCGTCCACACGTGCCACGAGCTGGACACGCGCACGTGCCGCCGTTTCGCCCGTCAGCTGGGTGGTTGCGGGCGGCGCTGCCAGCAGGAGCGTGGCAGCCGCCAGCAGCGCCGCGACGACTCTGGCCGATGCTGCCAACAGGGGCGACACTGTCCGGGACAGGGAGAGAGGGGCGGTCCGCCGAGGTCGCCGGGCCACCGCCATCGCTGTATGCCCGAGGAAGCCATCACCGTCGCCATCACCATCACGCCGTTGCCATCACCGTCCGGGACAGGGAGGGAGCGGCGGCCCTCTGAGGTTGCCGGCTCACCGCCGTCGCTGTAGGTCCGACCGACAGAGAGGGAGCCATCACTGTCGCGCCGTCGTCACCGTTGTACGGGACAGGGAGGGAGCGGCGGCCTGCCGGTGTCGCCGGTGCACCGCCATCACTGCCAGTGCCTGCCGTCGGACTGTTGTGAGAGCAGGTCAGGTCGCAGCCCTGAGGGTGAGAGGCGGCCTCTCTGCGTCATTGCATGATAGCACTACAGCCATGACAGGCACCTCCAGGTCCACTGACAGTTCTCGGGTGCAATAAGACAGAATAACGTGGCGCGGGCGTCGGACAGTTGACCAGGGCAGAGTGAGACGGCAGGGCTGGGAGAGCCAAACAGGCGGGCGACACGGCCGGGCATGGGCCGGGGTTCAACATGGGATGCACGTCCATGAAGCGTAAGACATGATACATACCGAGTTAGAGATCGTTCTCCTTCATGCTCTCAGTGCTCAAGAAAACGCTCGGAGGGCAAACCCTTCAAGAGGCTCGAGCTAAGCACCAGACAGCGTGCCGTTTCAGTGCAACACGTGTACATGGCTGACAGATAATCCACCATGCTCCAGCGCCAGGAACATTAGTTTTGCACCGTTTTCTGCTCACCACCGGAATGCTTCTTTCAACTGTCTCTGATTTATCTCTCACATTTAATCTGCGCTGCTCCCGGGGCTTCCTCCACGCAATGCTCTATAAAGAACAGTAGGCAGCGGCTAACGGCTAACTCCGCTGACATTGGCGCTCGCGCCTTGCTTGCGGCTTTCGCCACGGTGTAACTCAACCCTGGACACACGGCGAGGACATGACCTAACCACGTTCAGCGTACAAAATGTACGCCTTTCGCTACTTCTGCAGCTGTACGGAAAGCAGCAGTGAAGTTTCCTGTTGAGCTTGGAGCAGCCTCCCAACTTCGATAAGAAAGTGGGCCAAATCCGGGGTGAAACCCGTTTTGAGACGCATTTTCGAGGTAGGTTTAGCGACTCTGTGTGTGTGTGTGTGTGCGTGCGTGCGTGCGTGCGTGCGTGCGTGCGTGCGTGCGTGCGTGCGTGCGTGCGTGCGTGCGTGCGTGCGTGTGTGTGTGTGTGTTTGTGTGTTACACGGAGTAGCTGCCCCATTCTCCGGTATGTCGTGTATCCGCGCATGAATTTTTGGTAGCTTATGGGGTATCTATTGCGCGTGTTTTGACAAAAAGTGCCCCTAGCGTTTGTGGTTTCGGAGCAGGGGCGGTCTTTGAAGGATAGTACCTGCTCCATTTAGCCAAACTGTGTATTGTAAGCACCACAGAGCAGATACGCTGGCAAAAGGCAAAGCAAATAAATGTTATTACTTTCACGGTGATGAGCAAGGAGTCCAATGAGCCTTCCCCGCCGAAGCGGCTGCTTCAGATAAGAATTGTGAGCTATTCAGAAGGATTTCGAGAAAACGCGGTATTACCGATCTAATTGGACGCTTGTGATCTAACAAGAGGTGAAAGTACAAAAGGTGGCATGCTCCCTTCGATGCAAGCCGCTTGGCCTACACTTCATATGTTCACGTCACGACGCGTGGGTCCTCAGTAGACGTCACGTCACGACACGTGGGTCCTCAGTAGACGTCACTTCACGACACGTGGGTCCTCAGTAGACGGTTAGTGTTTTGTAACGCCTCACTTGTGCGGGCGCTCGTCGAAGAACGTGACAAGCTGCAGCATGGCCGCCGCGGGGACGCCAGGGTCTGGGCCGGCACCGTGCATGTGAGGTCGCCACACTGGCTGCTCATCGCATGTCGTAAAATGCGCATCAGTGGAGCGCGTTGCATTTGGTGCAATCACTCCAAGAATACATGAAGCAATTTGTGACCCAGTAATTTATGAATGAAGCTCATAATAGGCCTCATACAAATTGAATAATTCATCAAATCTGATGTCCAACTGCATCTTTGTCGTGCTTATAACACTTCCACAATGCTTCGAGTCATATGAAGCGGAACAAGATCAATGTATCGTCCTGATATCGTTAGCTTAATGGTTTTAGAGTTACTATGCTAAGCACTATTCTAATACATGCTAGGTGATCGCTGATGGTCAGCGCAGTTATCGTACAAAGACGGAGAAGACCCAAGAGGTATCAAAGTGAGAAAAGTAACCCATCTAAGCTCCAAGACGCCAAATGTCTCGAGTACGCGGAAGAGGTGTGGAGGTGTAGAGGTGTAGTGTAGAGGTGTAGAGGTGTAGTGTAGAGATCTTCTCGTGCGGAAGAGGTGCAGAGACCGTTACCGCGATTGCCGGCATAGCTCAGTCAGGAATCCCATGGTATTCTATCATTTTGGCGTGATGGTCTGTAACAACGAACAACGTCCCCCACTTCGCTCTTGTGCAGGTTCAATTCAGTTTGTGGGAATCGCCGGGAGGTACCAGTTTTCTCAAGGTTCGCTGCGTGATGGAGAATCGATTGCGGACTGTTTGGCTGACTTGAAAAAAATCGCTAGGAACGCAAACTTCAGAAGCCATTTCTAGGTGGATAAACTGGTGTGTGGATTGAATAATTCTCACGGCCGAAATAAGTTGCTGTGCATGGCGTCATTGACTCTGGATACCGCTGTTCAGTACTCTGCTAGCGACGGCCACGCTCCTGCTGGCAGCGGCGCCCGCAGCCACCCAGCTGAAGAGCGAGTCGGCGGCACGTGCGCACGTCCAGCTCGTGGCACGTGTGGGCGCCGTCCTGGCATTGTGGAACCTGTCGCGTCCGGAGGGACGCGAGTGTCGGTCGACCACGCGTGAGCTCGCCGCTTGCTCGTGCGACACCGACCGCGCACTGTATGGAGAGTGCGCTCTGGAAGTTGGCCCGGCGCGCCCTCCACGCTGCGAGCTGACGTGTCGCGCATGTTCCGACTCGGTCTGGATGTATACGGATTTGCCGTGCCCGGACCAGTGGCGTGGTGGGTCGTTGCGACGCTCCAACGCTCGGAATGTGACACTCGTTGAAGATCCGTTCGCACCTTTGCTGATGACAGATTCCATCAGTAGGATGACCTACAACTAGTGCACTATCTGTTACCATGATCCTCGAGGTTCCATCTTTTGGACATCAGATATATTTTGTCCGGTATTGACTGAAAAACAGCAGGATGCCTTAACAATCACGGATGCTTTCCAGACGAACTAGGAATTTATTACCCGCGTTTCCATCAGCCGGTTTCGTGAAAACGCTTCATTTCCCAGGACAGAGAAGCGGCAGACGTGGATTCAGTTCCAACAGTACGCAAACATGCGTTGCGACAGTGAGAAAGAGCGGCGAACCGACGGGCTGGGTACGGTGACTGGGTGGGGGCTCCCGCTGTTTAAGTAACTTAGCATCATGTTGACGGCAGTACCTATGAAGGAACCAATAAACCTCCGTTCCCAGCGGGGGCTGATCCGCTGAATCGGGACGGTTCCTTGCCGCCTTGAATGGCGACATGCTTAGCTCAGTGCGCTGACCATGGAACACTTCATATCAGCAGTGGGTTGGGTCACGAGAAGGGTTTTTGCGGGCATTTCCAATTTGAATATTGAGATCATTGGGCGTTATTTAAATGCAAATATACAGTTTTTGAGGCTTAGAGTTAAGTTTGGAGGTTGCCGCTGGGCACCGTTCGCGTATTTTTGTTGTTATCTTAGCTTTTACCACGCTTTTACAATCCATTAAAAGTATATTTTCAGATTATCGGTATGTTGTATGACAACAGAAGTGACCTGTGTATAGTCAAGCCGTTTCTTTAAACCTTCTTGTAGGGCCCCGTTGCGCCATGGCCTCTGGGCTCTGATATAACCAAAACAGTCGCTGGCGTTCCATAAAAGAGGTGGTGATAAAAGTGCGAAAGAACGGCTCATGCAACAGTCTGTGCACCAACTGGAATATGCCGGTTGCTGAATCTTGCAGATCGGTTTAACTCTTGCCC